ACCTGGCCGATAAACACATGTGGGGTTAATTGAATGGCGTAGGGATAAATAGCTCTGTGAGCCTCACCTTTCTAGTTCTCGGGTCTCTTGCTTTCTGATGGTCGCACCAGAGTGCAGCTGCCTTAGCCAGTTCCCTACTTAGCCGGCAAGGCTCACTTCCTGCAAGACAACCCTGAGAAGCCACATGGACCCACCCTGATGCAGCCCTGGGTGCTGGAGCACCTGCGTGGAGAACCCTGCCAGCGCTGAGATGCTTACACATTCACTGACTCAGCTTTCCTACTGCAGTTGGCATCATTGTGTCTGTTTTGTGAGATGGAGGAGGACTTTGTGGATTGGTGTTGTACCCATGGGTTAATAGATTAATGTTGGACTTGTGGGGTCGGGCAGCACTGGGTTGGGATGTTTTCTTGATGCACACTTAACCTTTATATAAAACTCTCTCTTATACATGAGTCTCTGTGGATTTGTTTCTCTAAAGTACCCAGACCAACACAGGGTTAGAACAAACATCCTGAAGAATGGAAATTCCAGAACAGCTAATTGTGCTCATGGGCTACCTGTGCATAGACCAAAATGCTGTTTTCTAACAAAACAAATGGAAAATTAATGATTTTTAAATCAAAAAAGGTGTGTGCAGGGTAGTACCATTTCACCATATGTATTCAATCTGAATGTTAAGCAAATAATTCTAGGACTTGGACTATATGAAGAATGCAGCACCAGGATTGGAGAAAGGTTCATTAACGACCTGTGATATGCAGATGACATAAGCCTGCTTGCTGAAAGCAAAGAGGATTTGAAACATCTACTGATGCAGATCAAAGAACTCAATGAAAACAAAACCCTCACAACTGGACCAATAATATGATAAATGGAAAAATTATTGCAGTCGTCAAAGATTTCATCTTGCTTGGATCCACAATCAATGCTCATGGAAACAGCAGTCAAGAGATAAAATGATTCATTGCATTTGGGTAAATCTGCTGCACAAGACCTCTTCAAAGTGTTGAAGAGAAAGGATGTTACTTTGAGGAATGAGATGTGCCTCATAAAGAAGACCAAAGAAGAATCGATGTATCTGAATTATGGTGCTAGTGAAGAATATTGAAAATACTATGAACTGCCAAAAGAACAAACAAATCTGTCTTGGAAGTATAGTCAGATGGTTCTTAGAAAAGAGGATGGCAATTCTCACATACTTGGTTATCATTATGCGCCAGTCCCTAAAAGATGACATAAGGTTGGTAGAAGTTCTGCAAAAAAACCCAGCAAGACCATCAACGAGATGGATTGACACTGGATGCAACAATGGGCTCCAACCTAATAAGCGTGAGGATGCTGTAGGAGCAGGCCAGGTTTTCTTCTGTTGCATAGGATCTCTAGAAGTCAACCTAACTTAATGGCACCTAACAAGACGAGTATATATGTAAAAAGATCAGCGAGGAGTCCTAGTGGTCCAATGGTCAAAGAACTGGCTGCAAACTGAAAGGCTATTGGTTTGAGCCCACCAGCCCTTCTGCAAGGGAAAGATGGGGTGGTGTGTTTTTGTAAAGATTTACAGCCTTGGAAGCCGTATGGGGTAGTTCAACTGTGTCCTATTGGGTCATTATGAGTTGGAATTGGCTTGATGGCAGTGGCTCTAGTTCTTTTTGGTTAGAACATATACAGAAACACCTTTGATTTGCATAGAGTTAAAACACTTGGTTGCTAACCAGAAGAATGAGCCCACCAACTCTTGGTTCTGAAATACCAATGCATTTAATTTAGTTTGATTTAGGGTGTATAACTAGGAGTTCGGTTGCAAGATCAAAGAGGTTTGAGAAAGCACCATCCCCATTTCCATAATAGTTGTACTATTTTCATGAGTACTGATTGTAAATCTAAGCAGGGTGAAATCCTTGGCAACGTAAATCTTTTATCATGATGTTCATTAACTGTTAATAAAGTTCTGAGGATTCTTGTGTTTACCTTGAGTTGTAGTTCATACTACAGGCTATATTCTTTTACCTTCATTAGTAAGAATTTAAATTTCTCTTTTATTTCACCAATGGGTAAGTGTTCCTATCCCCCCCACAACATCACCAACATTTGTCATAATTTTTGTTTTTTCAATCAATGCTGTTTTAGCTAGGGTGAAATGATATGTCACTGCACTTTAATTTGCATCTCAATAACTGTTAACCAAAGCAAGAGGGAAGGAACAGAGTCAATGTACCAAAAAAGAATTGGTTGGTGTTCAACCATTTAAAGAGGTAGTATCTGATCAAGAACCCACGGTATTCAAAGAAAAGTCCAGGCTGCACTGAGGTACTGGTGAAAACCAGGACCCCAGGAATTGAAGGAATACCAACTAAAGTGTTTCAACAAACAAATGTAGTTTGAGATGTGCCTCCTCACCTAGCTCAAGGAATTTGGATGACCACAAAGTCAAGCAACTGCAAGAGGCCCATATATGTGCTCATTCCAAGAAAGGCGACCCAACATAATATAGAACGTATCAACCAATAACATTAAAATCATACACAAGTAAAATTTTGCTACAGAAAATTTTTAAATGGGTTGCAACAATATATGGACAGGGAACTTGGGTTTCTATGGATGAACACTGGCTTAGACAGAACAATTTTGAGTATGGTCCAGGACTGGGAAGTCTTTCCTTCTGTTGCACAGAGGTTCACTGTGAGTAGAAACAGACCCAACAGCACCAGACAAGAAATGATTGCGAGCTTCTTTTCACTTGTTGTCGGCTCCTTGTTATCTTCTCTGGTGAAGCGTTTGTTCATGTTCTTTGCCCATTTTGTGACTGAGTTGTCTTGACTTGTTGCAGTTTTCTATGGGTTTTAGATATAAGCCCCTTATTAAATTGCATTTGAAAATAAGTTTCTAGTCTGTAGGTTGCCTTTTTACTCTCTTAATTTTAACAATTATAATTTTGAGGTCTTATTTACTATTTCTACTCATACCTTCTCTAAACGATTGGTAGAATTGCCCAAGATAGCCATCTAGTCGTGGGGGCTGTTTTTGTTGTTCTTAGGGTTGGTTTTTTTCCCCTCTACTGTAGATTTTTAATAAAAATTGTGAATTTGGTGAAAGTTTAGTTTTACAATCAATTCATACATATTTTGTTTCAACTCACCTAGTCTCATCACTTATCCCACTTCCTCCCTGTTGTTTCCATCTCTCCTTCTTCCCTGACCCTTTGGATTTTGTCTTTGGGTATAAACGCTGTCCATTTGCTCTTCTAGGACTGATTATTCTAACACATGGATGAGTTGTTCCATACGTGAATGGTTAAGTCTTGGGCTTTCCGTGAGTCTTTTTATCTAGCTAGTGGCTGATCAGTTTTGTTGAATCGTTCAGAGCCAGCTTCTGGTTTTAGTGATTCTATTGCTATTTTATTTCTGCCCTGATCTTTTTGTTATTTTTCCTGGTAGTTTTTACCATCTTTTCCTATTTTGCTCAAGCTGGTAGTTTGATCTCCTACTGCAGATATTTATTGTAGGACAAGGAGGTGTTTCGTTTTATTATACATCGGGTTGCAGGAGTTGGAACTGACTCGACAGCACCTGACATCTCTTGTATGTATATTTTATTTAAACTCCATTTTACTTGATATCAATGTGACCACATCTGCACTTTTGTACTAGTTACATGGACTAATTTTCTTCATCCTTTCATTTTTAGTCTGTGTCTCTGTCTAAAATATTCCTTAAAGACAGTAAAGGACGGATTGATGCATTTTACCTTTTTAATCCATCGTGCCACTCTGCATTTTGCACGGTACATGTAGGATATTAAGGATATTACTGAAAACCAAGTGTCTAACCCCATTCATTTTGGTATTTGTTTTCAGTTTTGCATTTTCACTTTTAAAATTTTTATTTATTGGTGGGGGGTGAGGGAGTGGGTTGACTAGACCACTTCCACCTCTTGGTAGCCATCACTTTGAATGTTGTCTTCAGGGCTGTACTGGTAAAGCCATTCAAAGAAATATTCCAGATCTTGGTCCCATTACTTTAAAATTTCCACTGCAAGCCCTGCCCTGTCTGCAGCTATCGTTAGCATCCATCAAGCAGAAAGTATGCTCATCCTTAGTTTTCCAGTCAGAACTGTGTAAGTTGAACAGATCTGAGATGGATGTAGTGTTGGCTACTGTTTCTGCTGTTAATCATTGGTCCTCATGCAGGACAGAAGCAAGATTAAATTTGTCCTTAAAAATTGATGTGGATGATATGGGCTTCCTAGTCAATGTAGTCTTGTCCTTCCTTAAAAGGAGTTACCTGTTTATAAAGTGCTAATTTTGTTGAGCCATTGTCCATATACACTTTGAAAGGCAGCAATGATTTCACCATTTTTTTACCCAAATGGTACCATAAATTTGACGTTTGCTTTGTTTGGGTTTTTAGCAAATTCAAGTTGTTCTGAAAAGGGGATCTTTTCAAATGATGTCTTATCCTTCTTAGTACCTGAAATTACTTCCTGTGCAGATATGTTGTAACAACTTAACACTACAACTTTATTTTCATGGAAAAGCTTTTTGAATCCTTAGTTTTTCTTTAATAATCATTTTGGAGCTTTTTGGAGGCCCCTGTGTATGAGGTAACCACTCAGAAATAACCAAGAGAAGGTAATCAGAAGAAAAGAATACATGAACTCATCAAAGAGAGCATCCAAGAACAAATTGTTTTAAAAATAAAAATTTAAAAAGTGAAGATACAAAACAACTAAAACCAAATAAATACTGAGCAGAGGTCATGGCAACAATTTTGGGGATGTTCAAGGCATTTTGCTTCTTAACTTTCTAAGGAAATTTTACACTACACTGTATATGAACCTTATTTGTTTTACTCACAGACAAGTATTAGTAACAAATATTATCTCTATGGTCTAAGTGGCCACAAACTACCAATTATGTGTTGCTTTAAAAAGGAATTCATCGTCATAGACGTTAAGATAACACCATTCAAGCATCTGGGGTTAATAAAAATACACTTATATTTGGTGCAAATTTAATTTTATTAAACCTTACACTGAATGTTGTGGCATTATCATTTTCCATTGTGTGACAATTCATTGGCTGGCATCTGAATACAGTACTTCTTCTGATAAACACACAATGGGAACTGACAAAGGGAGAGAAACTAGCTGTTTAGTGATACATGAGGGCAAAAGGAAGAGGAAAGAGAGAACCAATTGATTTTCGTTTCCTTACTAGCTGACGCTAGAATGGTTAAAGTTTAAGCATAATGCTGCTGTTCAGTGCACAAGAATATGGCTATTATCTCACCTGGCCCACAAAAGTCTGAGAAAATAAATTATAAGGATTATTGTATTTGTAAAATCAGCCTAAAGTTTCTGCTGGGCAATGATTTGAAAGAGCTACTTTTCAAATATAATCTCAACATTTGTTCCAAATCACAGTACATGGGGAGGGATTTCTAAAATATTACACACATTAAATATCACTTTACTGGTGAGCAACTGCTTAACTTCAAAATCACAAAGGGCATTAAATTATCTTTTGCCTGATATGGGCTTATATCCCTGTCAGATTAATACATTAGAAAATGAGCATTTTAAAATCTACAGTCTTTATATAGAGTAGACTGGCATCCAATCTGAGTGAAATGACCTTTTTTTAAAAACTGAAAATGTTCAACAGTGGAAGATTTAATATTCAGCAGGTCTCAACAGCTTATTTTTTGTGGACAAGTACTCAAAAACTTACAGAACAACTCGTCAACACCATGTTACAGTTTACACTTCGACACAAATCAGAACAATTAACTCAGGATTAAATTTACTCGTCTGTGGTTTAAAAAAAAACACAATTTGAAATCTTTTATTCAGTCTCACAATAATTTTGAGAATACTTTCTGAAGAAAGCTTTATCAGTGTCTGAGGTCACATTTATTAACCAATCTCCATTAAAATAAAATCATAGGCAATTTTGAGCTGTTAAACTAACTTAATTTTCAGGAACTTCCAGTGGCATTTGGGGAAATGACAAAGCGAGATGTGAGAATCATATCCTGACATAAGGCATTTCAGTTATCTAAATTGAAGAACAGGTTTAAGTTATCAATTTTCAGTGATGGAAAACTGCTATTTAAAGAAATCCTTCTTTCAGACTAGAGCTGCACAATCCCGTTCACCTGCAAAGAGCATGAGAAGGGCCTACTTCAAGAGCATGTAGCCCCTCCCCCCATTTCCTCTGCCAAAGTGGAGCAAATATCAAACCACTTAACTGCTCATCTTTTACCCCATAATCATTATTTTTAGTTTTGAAAAAGTAGCTTGTGCATATATTTCATATACCACAGGTTAGAGCAAGTGATTTAAAAATATTGATGTTTGATTTCTAGACTATCCCTAAATCAAATTATTCTTAATATACATGACAGCTCAGATATTTCATCATGTTATGCCCACAGTGCATAAGATATTGAAATTTCTTCATTAAAAGATTGGTGACTATGTTATACGCAGTCCACCTTTTTCAATGGGGAAATTAAATTTACAACCTAGTAAAATGGGTAAGGATAGTGTTTAAAAGAAATTAAACCTCAGTTGTTGAACCAAAATGTCTGTCCTTTTATTTACTTTACTACTCTTCATTACAAGTTATTTTAATCGAATAAAAATGAAAAAAACGCTAACATGACTATTTGCAATGATGACTCCTTAAATACCATTAAATCAACACTCAAAATAAAGTGTCAACACAAAAGCCCAGGTGAGTGATCCAGCTCATTAAACTCACAGGTAAACTGAATTTATCTTAAATCAATAAGAAGCTTTTTATTCAGAACAACTTCATTAAGACATTTGCAGGGCAAAAATATGCCTTCAAAAATCTTATTCTGAATAACAATAAAGTGCTGAATAATAATTACCTGAATCTTTTTAGTACTTTTCACTTAAGTTAAAAGAGCCCTTTCTGTGGCATTAGCAAAGCTGTTTTTAAAAAAGCTAACTTTCAGTAAGGAACTAGGAAGCAGTGCAACCTTTGTGTTGAACTATGGTGACAAATAATTGAGACCAAAGTAATTCATGCAAGCTATTTTTTTGAAGTATACTTAAGCTTGAAGAAAGAAAGAACACTGTTACTGACCGTTGATACTATGGCAGTAGATTGCGTACTAAAATACTTTTAATTATCCTGGATCTGATTTGGCAAGCATCATGCCACTGACATGCTTTAGCTCTTTTTGTAACTAAAAGTGATTTGCAGCTTCATTACTGAGTATTCAATGTGACTCATTAAGCTGTGAGATAACAGTTTGTGGTTAACTTTAAGCAAATTCTCTACACCTAATCACACCATCAGCACAAGCAGGACAATGCTGGAGCAGCATGAAAGGTGGGTCACTTTATACAGGCTCTTCCTGTGACTGCATGTTATTTTAAGATGGCAGACCTAAATTTCAACTGGCTTAATGAGTTAGAATAGATTTGTTTCCCAATTTTAACACACAATAATTTCTGTGGATCAGAGAAAGAAACTCAGATGTGAAGGAAAGAAAAAAACCAAAAAACTGTTGAGCTCAGGTAGCTAACCTGTGTAAAAAGTATCATGCTATAGAGAACTTTCATGAAATGAGCTTTGTGAGAAACTTCGAAACAAAACAAAAAAAACTGTTTTGAGTTGTTGACTAACTGCTGCATAGAAAATATGCTAACATACAACAGTCAAGTTTAAGCCGGTGCATAGAGAAGATAAAGCACTTATGGTAACTGCAAATGGTAACAAGTCCGTTAAGTTTGTACAACCTAGCAAAGGTCCGTAAGGGGAAAACACTGTTAAGTAGAAATGATTCCACAAAAATAGAAACAGGAGCAAAGCCTGGAGAAGGAAGCAGGGGGGTGAAAGATCTTCGCTCATATAAAATCCATGACCAGTAAAGTATAAAGACATCACTAAAAACAGTTAACTCAGTCCCAAAGACCCAACAGCAAACAAAACCAGAATGGATGATAAGCCTTTGGCAAAAAATTTTAGAAATTTGAATACGATATTACATTTCTCAATAATTCACAAACAATATATTATATGGCATATTTATATTAAATACTGGGAAACCAATTCTTTAAGTTTGATGCTTATACTGCTTAGCCAATGACAGCACAATGTTATCAAGCTAAATGAATGCTGGTGGTATCACAACAGTGCTCGTTTATGAAACAACTGTTCCCAATGCGTGCCTTAACAGTGCTAAAATACAGTCATCTCATACTTATCATCTATGCAGTGAAACAAAGGTTTCTAACTTTTCTGGGATGTGCCCTTTATAATATATTCTATGATTCACTATGACCCGCGCAGCAAGACACTGCAATGTGGTATGATTTATGGGCTGGATCAAATTTTTAGCTATTTCCTTCTCATCCAGTAAGTCACTAGCAGTTTGTTTGTGCAAGTTTGTGGCATCAAAATGTGCACCTGATTTAATAAGAAGATTCATGATGTCTGGATGGTTGTTCAGAGCAGCAATATGTAGGGGACTGTTGTCATCGGAGTCTCTGACGTTCACATCAGCACCACATTCTATCAGTATCGCAGTAACTTGCAGAGATGGGAATTTGCAAACAGGGTACCGCCCTACACATGTAGTATTCTTGTCCACAGCCAGATGCAGAGGGCTAAAGTTATTCTTACCCCTCGGGTGCAGCTTCAGAAACCTGTATATTGTCTGCTTTTTGAAATGGTCCTGTTCTACAGTACAAGGAACTTTTTCTAACAAGCAAATTAAATGCAAAATGATGGAGAGCGCCTTATTTAACTGCAAAGGGTCAGCTGGACACTGTGTTTGCTTGATAGCTCGCTCTATTTCGAGGACGCTTTTGCACAGTATGCCCATAAGATCATCAAACGTAACAGTAGTGCCTAGCAGGCCTTTAGCCCTATCCTGTAGCATGAAAGAGAACAGTTCTGCAAAAGATAATAAGCTACTGGCAGTCATTGGACTTAAAGGGTCCAAATTGTTCTGCTGCATATCCAAAGCATATTTCCACAGGTTGATGCATCTTTTGAAATTTCCAGAGTCTGCGTAGACAGCCCCTCTATACCGAATATAGTAAGAGGTATCAGGGTGAGAAGGACCAAGAATTCGTTCTCTAATCAATAGTGCTTGCATTCTCATCTCATCAGGATCAGCAATAAGGCCTTCTAGTTCTTCTGCGCTGTTTACCTCCTTGGCATAATCATAAGCCATTATTAATGTCTGTGGTACTGGTTTGCTAATTATATTAGTCCTATCACTGTACCTCATGTTCATTGCTTTTTTCCAGTATTTCAAAGCTCCAAGTAGATCTCTTTTTTTGTCTACAAATGTAGCTCCCAGTAGCTCTAGAGCATTGATACGTTCTGTCTTGCTAGTCTGTGCATGGTGTGTCAGAAAATCCACAATATTTGTGTGACCAGTCACACTTGCTGAGAGAAGGGGAGTCATTCCATAGCCATCCTTTTCCATCTTGGCACAATACATAAGAAGCATCTTCATTATGTCCAAACTTCCAGATTCTGCGCAATCATGCAATGCAGTATTGCCTTAAGGAGAAGGAAAAAAAAGTAACAAATGTTTACAGAGACCAGGATATAAAATAATACATACATGTATTCTGAAGTCAGAATCTAAAGAAAAATTGGCAGCTCCAGGCCACTCTTAAGTAGAACACACTTTAATTTGATAACAAGCGAGACAAACTAAACACACACAGTCAAAGGTTCAAACCTACTAGCTGCTCCACAGGCTAGTGGAGGCTGCCTGCTCCGGGAAAGATTCACAGTCTTGGAAACCCTATATAGGGTTTCTATGAGCTTAAATTAACTTGATGGCTGTGAGTTTTAGAATGAATATTGACACAGAGTAGAGGTCAAGGAAATAACTTATTATACTTGTTGAATAAATGAAATGGTTAAATTAGGTATCAAAGGTTATCCAAAGTCACCAGATAAAACTCAAAATTAATCTATGACAAATCCTTATCTGCCATTAGAGCTTTAAATTGAAGAACTCACAATAGAATTAAATTAACCAGCTAATCTATTTTGATGGCAATCACAGCTTTTTAAAAATATATGGGTTACACATTAAAAACAAGGGATCTCGTCTAAAACGCATAAACCCAAACTCAATGCCACCAAGTTGATTCTGACTCTGAGTGACCCTATGTAAGGTTTCTGAGACGATATCTTTAAGGGAGCAGAAGATTTGAATCACTGCTTTTGCCAAACCAACAGTATTACCAGGGCTCCTTTGCTCTCCTGTCCCTCTTTCTCTCTCTCTCTCACTGCTATCCAGTAAATGCTGACTCACAGCAACTCACTGTGGATTTCCGAGACTGTAAATATTTACGGAGTAGAAAGTCCAGTCTTTCCCTCCCAGAGCTATTGGTAGTTTCGAACTGCCAACCATGCAGATGGCAGCCCAACACGTAAAGACTATACCACTGGGCTCCCTTTCCTATAATACATAATATCCTATAGTTTTATTCTAACAGTAGGCTGAATTTTCCCCCGCATTTCTTATTGCAAAGAAATTTTATTTTAGCCAGAATTCTCAGTAATAAAGTATTTTCCTCAAAAAGCTCCCTAAGAAAAACAGGTCCACTGAAAGCTAAAACCAGGTGGGTGGTTAAAAGTGAACTTTAAAGGAGACATCTGAAGCATCCTTTCATAATGGATAATTTCCCACTGTCACTTAATTTTTAAAACATTCTTTTTCGATGTACTAAATGTTCTAACATGTCCTGTTCTTCCCACACAAGGATAAATTGATGCATTCGTAAAAGTTTGTACAAAGCATATAAGACATTACAACTGCCCAGGTATTTGTATTTTTACTAAGTTTAATGATAAACATTCTGCTAATTGACAAAATAGAAGTTACCATGCAGTCCTCTGATAGTTAGATACCCAGCGTTTTCTGAAAATTTCAATACAGCATCATTTTAAATGTGTGCAGAAAAGGGTTAACATGGCAGATTAAGATTACTGTCCCTATAAAGTCTTGCTTCCAAGATTGGTCTTTAGCTAGCATCTGAGAATTTTCCATGACGACAACAAAAACCTTCATAATTGATGACAAATGGCTCAGTCCACCTACCATAATCTGTATGTAGAGATAATAAAATGTCTGCTGAACACCTGCTTCCTTCTGGGAGTCTGGAACATCAGGTATAAGTTAGGCAGATTTTTCTTGCTAGGGGAAGAGTAGTACCTTCTCACGGGAGGGAAAAAGCTTAAGGAGGCTGGCTCATGAATCCTCTCCAGACACTTGAATCTTTTCCTTTTATGCCCCAGCTGTGTATTCTATAATACTGCTGTCATAAGTCCCTTCTGTGAGTACTATATGCTCAGCCATCTCCAAACACAGGGGTGGCCTTGAAGGCCCCTGTGATGGTTACAGGGTGCCATGTCAACCTGATGATATAGAAGGGGTGGAATTTAACCTGTCAATCAGGTCACAGCCTGAATGGACCTCTTGGTGGGTGTGGCCTTCTCATGAGGAGGATCCTGGGAACTTCCTCTCTCACTCTGCTTCACCTTCATGTTGGCAAGTCACAGGGCTGAGAGCTGCCAGAGCCTTGTGATGCTTCCTTCCACTGCCATTAGATTCGCAAGACTCTGCACCCACCAGCCTGTGATCTTCCTGCATTCTGCATCATTGCTTGTGGCTGCGTGGGTCTGAAGAGGAATTTGTGAACTAGTATCAGATTTATGAACTTGTTCTGGACTGGGATGAGATGTTTTCCTGATATTTAACTATTTCTTGATATAAAATTCTCTCCTACACATGAGTGTCTCTGCATTTGTTTCTCTAGTGAACCTGGCCTAACAGAGCCTCCAACACAGTATGTGCACCAGGGAGTGATTTAAAGCTGAACACATAACATAAATAAGAAAAATCCGAAGTTACTAGGGTACTGCAATCCCTATCCAACTTTATCCTGGTTAGTCTTTCGTGAGAACTACAGTGATGACATAATTACTCTGGATATGTTTGTTTTGGTCTAAGATTTCAATGATTTTTACTGGAATTAGTGTCTGATGGGATTTTTTAGTGCTTTGTAAAGTATTCAAGTACGACCACTTGTTCAAAATTTAAGTTAAATACTTTAATGAGATAAATCTGAATAAAATGGTAATTTAGATAGGATTTCTCCATTCAAAGTAATATGTCAACAGTAAGAATGCAACAAAGCTAGCTTTTTTAACTAATAAAGGTCCATACTGAAAAAAATATTGAATAGCTACATTTTGAGGACACATACTTTTCAAAATTAGTGGACCTAAACAATAACAAAAATATTAAAGAAGACTTCACATCTGGTAATGGAGTAGTAAAATAACAACATATAAAAAGAAAAACATGCTTGGCCTTTACTCTATTTTTCCTCCAAATTAGAGTAAATGTACTAAGAAGTGGTCAATGAACAAAAAAGGAAAACTAGAAAAGTAAAGCCCAGGATTCAAGGCAGCTTCTGACAAACAATTTCTAATAATTCTGAGAGAGGTAGCGGAGACACGGGCAGAGCTCTTGAGAGTCTTGCACGGCTGGGAAAGAAAACTGGAATACAGTGCCCACAAACAATGAAGGGGACTTTGAAAACCCCACACTTTGGGTTACGCCACTGAAAAACTGCACTACAGGAGCTACTAAGGTGAACTGCAAATAGACTAGGAAACAGTTCTAACATCCAACAAAAGAAACTGACACTGACAGAAAAGTTCTACAGGGGATCTAGACAGCAAACTTCTCAGACAAGAGAAAGTCAGAAGACAATGGAACGTTATCTTCAGCACATAAAGGAAGTAACTGCCAACTTAAGACTTCCGGACCTGCACAAAGAATAAATGTGAAGTAAAACAGAATCCATATGGAAGTCTGGAGACGTGAATATAAACATCAACAAAATGGATAAATGTGTAGGTAAAACTACATAAATATTGATTTTGAAAACAGTACAATTCATGCGTGGTTTGAAATATGTATATTTTAAGATGTAAAATACAGCAATAGCATAAAAGCTATATAAGACTTCTAAAATGTGTGGAAAACCATGGATATTACTTTGAAGACTAAGGTGTACCTGATCAAAACCATGGTATTTTCAATTACTTCATATACATGTGAAAAGTTGGTCAGTAAATAAAGACCAAGAATTGATGCTTTTGAATTGTGGTGCTGGCAAAGAATATTGAAAGTACCTTGGACTGGCAAAAGAACAAACACATCTGTCTTGGAAGAAGTATGACCAGAGTGTTCCTTAGAGGCAAGGATGGCGAGATTTCCTTTCATGTTCTTTGGATCTGCTGTCAGCAGAGACCAGTCCCTGGAAAAAGCCATCACACTTGCTAACATGGAGGGGCAGAGCAAAAGACAGGGGCCTCAACAAGATGGCCTGACACAGTGGCTCCAACAATGGGCTCAAACCAAAGAACACTTGTGAGGGCAGCAGTGTTTCACTCTACTGCGTTGCACTGGGACCAACTTGATGGTACCTAACAACAACAACAACAAAGTGTTCTAGGATCTTTGCATTGTCTGTCAAGAGGTAAAAATAGAATTTTATGTTACCCTTTGAGGCTGCTCCCCTAAAGATTTACAAAGCCTTGGAAACCCCTATATAGAGTTGCTACGAGTTACTGGAAAAGAGGTTGGGGGTACATAGGGGGAGAAGAGGAATCTTATGTGTGACAAATTTCATGTAGCCATTTTAACCAAAATTTTTTTCTCCTTGCTAAAAGCTTGTAACAAAATTAGGGCAGATAAACACATTTTCACTTCTACAGAAAAAGCTGATCCTAAGAAGTCCCAGGAGATGGAAATCACGTTTGGGATCCAGGTCCATTTGTCACCTGGAAAAAGGGCGATGCATTATGTTTTTGCAGAATAAAGCTTATGCAATCATGTTTGGAGAAAGATGAAGAACATGAAGGAACCAAAAGTCTTACCCATGATTCTGTTTCCAGGTGGCTGACACCCTGAAGAGAGGGGCTATTGGCTTATGTTTTCACAGGCAAAGGAGCTAGGTGGATTTCTCTTCGGCCAGCAAGGCCCAGAAGAAAGAAGAGAAGCTGATGCATGATCTGACCCTGTCCTGTTACTGACGTTATTCAAAACATCAAGATCTCGCAGATTCCTGAGAATGGCAATCACTGGCTGCTGAGATATTTTTTCGATTGCGGATGTTGTCTAAGGGACACTCTGGGACTCTTATCATAACTGAACATTTTATACAATAGTGACTGTACTACTACAACAGACTGTTCTTTTGCTGAAAGATCAAGATTTGGGGACTTCTCAATTAATGCTATAATGTGATTGGAATGTAACTGATTTTTCAATAACCCCTTACCCATAAAATAAGATATTGCATGATTGGGATTTGATTAGGAAACATTTGCAAGGGTTTATGGGAAACATTTCATTAGATGTGATGTAGCTAAAAGGATATTTTCTATACATTCAAGGGTGGATTTAAGACATCCCACTAGCTGAGGTATTTAAACGAATGGTGGATGGCATAGAAAGAGGCTGGATC